TAAAAAAGCTAAATGGAACTACTAAAATGTCAAATATGTAATTTTAAAATTTTATTTTAAAATTAAAATAAAAGCTATTAAAATTTATTAAAACTATTATGAAAATAGTGTATACTCAATCAGACCAAAAAAAAATAAAGAAAATTAAAGAAAAATTAAAGAAAAGAAAAGAAAAGAAAATTAAAGAAAAGAAAAGAAAAGAAAAAATTAAATTAAATTAAATTAAATTAAATTATTAAAAAAAGCTAAATGGAACTACTAAAATGTCAACAATGTAATTTTAAAATTTTATTTTAAAATTAAAATGAAAGCTATTAAAATTATTATGAAAATATTATGTATACTCAATCAGACCCAAAAAAAAAAAAAAAGTCAATAAAAAAAAAAATAAAAATAGAAATAGAAATTAAATTAAAAAGTAAAAATTAAAAATAAAATTAAATTAAATAAAAATTAAATTAAATTAAGCCTTCATGTAAATGCAAAATACTCAATCTGAATAATCTGAATACTTTCTTAATCTGATTCAAAAATGAAATAAAATGAAATAAAATAAAATACAGATTAATTAAAGCAAAAGGGGAATATTAAAATAAATAAATAAATAAAATAAAAATGAAAAAGAACATAAAATTATTAAAACCTAAACTAAAATGAAAATAAAAATAAAAAAATGAAAATATAAAAATATTGTGAGGACAATCCGAGTCAATCCTATTAGAATCTAAATACTTTCTCAAATGTTGTGATCAGTGTTGTTATCGTTAACTAAAACCAATACAAAATCGTCTTCAGTACTTGAAATAAAGCTAAATAAATATAAATAAAATTTACATGAATAAAAACTAATTAAAATATAAATATTAGATGAAAAACTTCCAAAATAAAATGAAGCCTCAATAGAAATGTTGCCTCGGCAACTAACTGATTTAAATAAGTTGAAGTAACAATAACATGAAGTAACTAACATTTCTAAAATTAATACTGAATAAAAAATTAAAGCTAAATAGAAATATAAAAAAAAACAAAAAAACAATTTAAAAAACTGACTAAAACTTAAAATAAAATTAAAACATGAAAATATAAAAAATAAAAGCTAATTCAAAATATTAATAAATTCTACTAGCATATAAATAATAGTGAAAATAAAACGTTGTGATTAATCTCAGAACCGATTGGTTCGGGTTTCATGGCTCAAAATAGTTATTTAATCATTTTTTAAAATGTCTTTAGAGAAAGATAATGGGAAATATACTGTTAACCCAGACAGATGAAACACTGAGCACTCACAGCTGTGCATCATACTAATAACTAAACATACAACATGGGCTATCCCAGCATGCCGAGCGTGAGCGGCCATACCTGTGGACTCCTCTGTAAAGTCTTTATCATCGATGTGGTCGTAGGTGATTTGTGGGATGGAGAGGGTGCGTTCTCCTCCGGGACCCAGAGAACCGTTATCACGCGTGACCTTCGGCTTCCGCTTGTACCGCTTACTCTGAGAAGACAGGAGTGACAACATTACACGCTCTTCATAAAGAAATTATTCATCTAAAATTATGAAAATGACTCAGAATATAGTGCAGAAGTCACATGGGCAACTTACACCAGCGGTCAATAATTTGATCAAAAATACAGTAAAAATAGAAATAATGTGAAATATTATTACAATTCAAAATAGCTGTTTTCTATATAATATATATTTTAAAATGTACTTTAATCCTGTGATGAAATGCTGTATTTTCAGCATCATTACTCCAGTCTTCAGTGTCACATGATCTCCAGAAATCATTCTAATATGCTGATCTGCTGCTCAAGAAACATTTCTGATTATTATCAGTGTTGAAAACAGTTGAGCTGCACAATATTTTTGTGGAAACCGTGATACACATTCAAAAGTTTGGGGTAGGTAATTTTAAAAAAAAAAGGAAAAGAAATTCATTATTTTATTGATCTTGGACACATTAAATTGATCAAAAGTGACAGTAAAGACATGTATAATGTTACAGAAGATTTCTTTTGAACATTCTATTCATTAAAGGATCCTGAAATCATGATTTCCACAAAAATCTGAAGCCGCAAAACTTTTTTCAACGTTGATAAAAATCAGAAATGTTTCTTGAGCAGTAAATCAGCATATTAGAATGATTTCTGAAGATCATGTGACACTGAAGACTGCAGTAATGATGCTGAAAATACAGCT